TTCGGGCCTAGACCCTTCATCAGAAAAGGGGGAGGGGAAGGGGGTTCCGAAATAAATAGGGAGAGAGTGGGAGGCGGATAGAAGAGGGATAGAGGAGAGGATAGGTGGAGAGGAAACAAACAGGTCGAAGAGGCGGGGATGGAGCCAGGAAAGGTGAGTGTAGGTAGGGAGTTAGGAAGGGGATAGGTAAGTCCAGGGAGGACGGACAGGTCAAGGGGGCGGGATGAGGTTGGTCTGTAGGAGATGGAGGTGCGGCTTGAGGTGGGAGGAGGGGATAGGTGGGAGGAAGAACAGGTTAGGGAGGCAGGGACGAGCTGGACTGGTTTTGGGATGCGGTGGGGGGAGGGGAGATTTTGAAATTTGTGAAATCCACATTGATACCATTGGGCTGCAGGGTTCCCAACCTTTCCTGGCCTCCCTACCTACACTTACCTTTCCTGGCTCCATCCCCGCCTCTTCGACCTGTTTGTTTCCTCTCCACCTATCCTCTCCTCTATCCCTCTTCTATCCGCCTCCCACTCTCTCCCTATTTATTTCAAAACCCCCTTCCCCTCCCCCTTTTCTGTTGAAGGGTCTAGGCCCGAAACGTCAGCCTCTCTGCTCCTATGATGCTGCTTGGCCTGCTGTGTTCATCCAGCCCTGCACCTTGTTGTCTCGGATTCTCCAGCATCTGCAGTTCCTACTATCTCTGATTCAATTACGGGTAGTGGTGTGTGTTTGGAGAGCATTTGCTGATATACTGACAAAATGATGGCAATGCTAGGAAGGCAAGGGAAACAAAATAGAGTACATGGGTTCATGATCTGAAGGTATTGAACTCAGTGGTTGGTCCTGAAGTCCATTAAATGCCTAAATGGAAAATGAGATGCTGTTCCTCCAGCTTGCATTGGCTTCACTGGAACACTGTGGCAGGTCTAGGACAGGAATATGAGCATGCAAGCAAGACGGTATATTAAAATAGTAAGGGACTGGTAGATCAGGGTCATGCTTATGGATTGACTGGAAGTGTTAGGTATGGCAAGTGGTAAAATGGGGCTAGAATCAGATGAGAGGAAGGCCATTGGGGTGGGGAATGTAATTAATGTGTTGTGTTTGGTAAGATGTGGCGAGAAAACTTGCTAGGCCTTGTAGAGAGAAATCCTTTGTGACACTCAATTAAACTGACACTTACACAAATACACAACACTTACATCATTGGCCCGTTCTGGGTGGGAAATATCTTAGTCTAACCTTGCTGCCTGTAGAGTAAACATCTCCTTAATAAAGCTCCTGCTGTTAAATGCTTTGGTTTCCTGTCCTTAGAGCATGACAGTCCAATCAGCCCCACATTTTTGAAATGTTTAAATGAGGCTGGGATATTTGCCTAGCTTTTGCTATTAGGATCATTTCCATTCACACCCTCACCATGAAGGATTGCTCTTGAGTTAGAAATTACCATGCAGAACTGTACAAGGAAAAGAACAGAAGTAAGAAGCTAAGTACTATTTTGGTTAATTCTGGGGAAATTTATAGGTCTATTTAAAGGATAGCACGACATATGCTTGAAAAGTAAGTTTTCCAGTTGTGCTAAAAAATTAGAAAGGGCATTTGGGTATTTTATTCTGTGGTTTAATGTATAAGTTGCTTACAAAGGTACTGTTTAGTCAAGCAATCTTTTGTTACAGTAAGGTTCTTAAAATGTGAAATCTTGATGTTTGATTTTTTTAATCGATCACTTTGGAGATCATAATATAAATATTCACGATGTCAATCTATTATGTTTATGTCTTGATTGAATAATTTTGTTTCTGTTCATAGTTTGTTCTATAGGTTCAGGTAAAAATCCTATTGCTTCCTAGGTTATGAAACATGTCCTATTTGTAAATTGTCAATGGGTAAAAATGCTTTCACAGTACAGTCACACTGTTCACTTCGCACTTTAATATCAGCACCCTCTACTATAACTGCCTTCTTGTTGAAAGATTGGCTAGACATTTGCTGGCATTCTAGAGCTTTCTGTGATTGCTTCCTAGCTGATCTGGATGACAGAGATAGTGTGCTGGACAAGCCGGGAATGATCGACCATGATACCTATGAAGGTAGTACTGAAATTCCATCCAGCAGTTCCATCAGAAATATTTCTCCCAGAAAAAGGTATGTGACTCCAGTACAGTGTTCTAAATTCCAGCCATGTGCAGATGTAACTTCACATGTCAGAGGTTATTATCATGTTAAACCTGAGAGGAAAACCTCACAGCACCTATGGAGAGAGAAACAGAGGGCTGAGTTTTCCCAAATCTCAAGTGACATAGGCAATGGTGAGAAATGTGGGAAAATAGAACTGGAATGAAAAAAGAAATCGGATTCTAGACATTGAGAAAAACAATTTCTGATTTCTTTTCCTTGAGGTTTCATCAGCAAGATCAAAATCTCATTGATAAGTGGTGACTATCCTACTTCCATGCATTGGTATTCCATTAATATTCAACTCACCTTCTTTACATACAGCCTGCAACTCTCCCCTCCTCTTGCAATAAACTAGTTGGCAACAATTCCTGGCTTAAAAGTGAAAGTGGTTACCTGGTGGATGCAGCTCAATTCTTGCTTCTCCAGACATCCACTTTAATGTCCCTTCACCAATATGTCCTTGACGCACTGCAGACAGTGGCCTCCTTCCTTCATCCAAGTTCGGTGGAGTAGGATTCCTGAGCCAGGGCTCGTTCATTCTGACCGCATTTCTTTTCTTTTTTTGTCATTTTCTTCTCACTTATATCTTGTCCTCAGCTCAGACGGTATAGGCAGCAGCGAGAAGGCCCAGCAAGGACATCATGATGGCAGCGAGTGGGCCCACACACAGTGTGGACCTTGTGATGGTGGCAAATGAGCCCAGAGTTGACTTGAGCGAGGCCTTACTCACTTTTTGGGACCAGCATGGGAATCTGGCATCTGAATCGGCGGATGCTACATTGGCAGAGGTGTGGTAGGCCCAGGGGTGAAAGATGGTGCCTGCAGATTGGTTGGTTGGATCTGGTGCTGGTGGTAGCAGAAGGGCATCACATGGACATTGAGGTGGGCCCAGTGGTGAGAAATGTGGCTCTGATGTTGGTTGCGCTGGTGCAGGTGTCCGCGAGGCGGTGGCAGAGGAGGATTGGCCCAGCCGTGAAAGATGGACCCTGAAGAGTGGCAACTTCAACGTTGATTAAGTTCAGTGTAGACAGTGGTGAGGCAGCAGAGGAAGGGCAGCAGTGCAGGTGTCATTGATAATGAGCTGGCTCAGGACTGATGGACTCTCTTTCAGCTGTATCTTTCTAATTTCTTTCTTATTCTTAAAACTATCCAAAATGGTGCCGGATCGTGGCAACAGTGGAAGAACTTTTCACTGTATTTTACTTTCTGCTCACTATAAAATATACATGATGATAAAATTATTCATTCATTCTTTAGCAACCCATTAGCATAAATATATTATCCTGGCTGATCTCAGAAATCTACTTCAATCCCTCAAGATTTCCCTTTGGAGTTGAGGGACATCTTTGACCTGCATGTTCCTGCCAGATCATTTTCTGCACAGGGACATACAGCCAACTCACACATCTACACAGGATGTATCTTATAGCTCTTAGATTCATTTCATAGTGATCGCTCACTTTGTACTTTTTTTTGGAAGCTGCCTTTCAAAATAGGCAATCATGAGGTTGGTAGTGTGTGAGCATTGGTGAAGTTTGAGTCGAGAGAAGATGGTGGCACTTATACTGATGGAGCACAGAAGATGATTTTCCCGCACCATTATGTATTCTGTCAGAGCCTGGAGACAGCAGTGACCCAGGTAGGTGTCTGTGTCCAGGCCTCTTTGTTTGCTTCTTTGGCATCCTCCAGTGGACAGAGGGGGAAGGAATGGCCAGTATATCTCTAGGTCCTTGTCTGAAAAATAGGTTGGCAGCTTCCTTTTCTGAGAGATCTTGTTTTTCTAAGAGGACATGGTGCTGTTGGTCCTGGTTTTGCAGCATCTTATGTGGTATGCAGCTGGATTTTAAATATGGTTCCAGTAGCCTGGATGCTGGAAGTTCTTGGCAGTGCGGGGATTTCGGTTCTCCTGTGCATGAATGGATGAGAAGGGCACTATTAAGATGCATCATTAATGAAGCGATGGGCAAAAGATAGGTCACAGCAACTTTCTGACACCCACCACGACACAACCTGAAAATAACACTTTGCCCCAGAATGGGAAAGTCCAGCCCAGAGACTTCAGTTCAATATGATTCTCCTTTGCAACTGAAGAGAGGTGGAAATATGTTGGTTAGAGAAATATGATGGGTTTTATGCTGCAGAAGTAGAAAGCTTAGGTTAGTGAAACAAAAGGGAAAGCCAGGGTAAGAACAGAGGCCAAATGAGATTAGAGATCATGGGGGTCATGGAACAAATGGCAAAGGGAGTGATAACAAAGCAAAAGGAAGGAAGAGAATTGTCCTGTACCTATGCTATTTAAGGGAGTCAGCACATAATCTCATCTGGCATCTCACTGCCATAGTTAAGAAATATTCTGTATATTGTGTATAAGATTGCAGGCAGTGATGTTCTCATTTATCTGCTGCCCTTGTCCTTCTAGATGGAAGTAGCTGTGGATTTGGAAGGTGCTGTTTGAGGATCTTTGGTGAATTTTTGCATTGCATCTTGTAGATAGTACACACTGCTGCTATTGAGCATCAGTGATGTTGGGAGTGGATGCTTGTGGAGGCAATGCCAAACAAGCGGGCTGCTTTGACCTGGATGGTGTCAAGCTTCTTGAGTGTTAGAGCTGCACCAATCCAGGCAAGTGGGGAGTATTCCATCACACTCCTGACTTGTGCCTTGTAGATGTTGGAACAGGTTTTGGGGAGTCAGGAGGTAAATTACTCACTGCCTGGCCTCTGATCTGCTCCTGTAACCACTGGATTTATACTCCTAGTACAAATAAGATTCTAGTCAATAATAACCCCCAGGATGTTGATAATGGGGTATTCAGAGTTAGCAATGCCATTGAATGTCAAGGAACAATAGTCTGATTGTTGCATATTGGTGGTGGTCATTGCCTGTAAATTTGTGTGCCACGATTATTGCTTACCACTTGTCAGACCAAGCCTGAATATAGTCTAGGTCTTGCTGCATTTAGATGAGAACTACTTCAGTGTCTGAGGAGATTCTACAGTTCGTACCACAGAAAGCAGTTGAGACCAAAACATGAATGTTTGCATGAACGATAGAGATTGGTTCTTAGGGCTTAAAGGATCAAAGGATCTGGAGAGAAAACAGGTACAGAGGATTGAAATAAATTATCAGCCAAGACCATGTTGAATGGTGGACCAGGCTTGAGGAGCCAAATGGCCTGCTCCTGCTCCTATTTTCTATGTCTCTATTAATGGTGCTAAACAATGTGCAAACATCGGTGAACATCTTCACTTCTGATATTTATGATTGAGGGAAGGTCGTTGATGAAGCAGCTGAAGATGGTTGGGTCTAGGTCACTGGCCTGAGGAACTTCTGCAGTCATGTCCTGAGGCGGAGATCCCCTTTGGGCCAGATATGACTGGGGGTGGCATGGTTAGCACTGCTACCTCACAGCACCAGGGACCTGGGTTCAATTCCAGCCTCATGTGACTGTGTGGAGTTTACACATTCTCCCTGTGTCTGTGTGAATTTCTACTGAGTGCTCTGGTTTCCTCCCACAGTGCAAAGCTGTGCAGGTTAGGTGGATTAGCCATGCTTATATTGCCCATAGTGTCCAAGGATGTGCATGCTAGGTGGATTAGTCATGGTAAATACATGGTTTTGGGGATACGGAAGGGGTCTGGGTCTGTGTGGGATGCTATTTAGAGGATCAGTGCAGACTCGATGGGTCAAATGGCCTCCTTCCACAATTCTAAAATGCCAACCAGCAGAGAGATTTAATAAAAACCAAAAGAACTGCGGATGCTGTAAATCAGGAACAAAAACAGCTCAACAGGTCTGGCAGCATCTGAGAAGAAAAAAAATCAGAGTTAACGTTTCAGGTTCGGTGATCCTTCCTCAGACCTGAAACGTTAACTCTGATTTTTTCTTCAATATGCTGCCAGACCTGCTGAGTTTTTCCAGCAACTTCTGTTTTTGTTGCAACAGAGAGATTTCCCTGATTCCCATTGACTTCAGTTTTGCTAGGACACCATGATGCCACACTTGGCCAAATGCAGCCTTACTATCAAGGGCTGTCACTCTCACCTCACCTCTGGAATTCAGCTCTTTTGTCCATGTTTGAACCAAGGCTGTAATAAGGACTGGAGATGAGTGACCCTGGTGGAACCCGAACTGGATGGCAGTGAGCAGGTTGTCACTAAGCAAACGCTGCTTTATAGCAGATGATGACACCTTCCATCACTTCGTATTGTTATATTTGTTTCCATTATTTGTCTAAAATTCTTCAGCATCAGTATATTCTGTTCTACTCACAAGTTCAAGCTGAAGAAATTAGTAGATGGTGTTTCAGAGAGTTATGTTGATTTCCTAGGTAGGGAGGTTTACAGGAGCTTGTTCTCTGCAATGACATTATTGAATGCTAAGTGGTTTGTACAGGTAGGAGCCTGTCCCTGGGGAATAGTTGTCGTTATTCAGGGCAGCATTATCCTAACAAATTCCTCCACCCAAATCTGCACATGGACTTCCCTGTTATTATGATAATGAGCTAACTTCAGCAAATTGCTCACAAGACAGTGCACTTAGTGTTGTGTTTTACATTTCAGTAGTAAACTATGCATACCAGAAAATCTACTCTTGGATGGCCTAGCACTATTTTCAATCAGTGCTTTTCTATTCCCAGCACCTCACAAAACTACATGAGAATTTAAAAAAGTTTTCAAGCCAAATGAATATAAATAGCACATTAATGAACATAAAAACATACTGGCTCATGCCATAAATCTTTCCTACCTTCTCACTTCCGTACCCATAAAAGCTAATGTTGACTGCCTCGCAAATCATTAGTAGATTGAGATTGTCATCATGACCTGAGACACACAGGGTGTGGGAAAGACAGATAGCTCTGAGGCACAGTTCCTTCGGATAATTGTTTCCATACATTGGATGATGGCTTCTAATATTTGAAAGCATGTATATTTAACAAATTATCCACCTCACTTGGGATGTCATGTTGCAGCTGTACACGACATTGGTGAGGCCACTTTTGGAATACTGCGTTCAATTCTGGTCTCCCTGCTATAGGAAAGATGTTGTTAAACTTGAAAGGGTTCAGAAAAGATTTACAAGAACTTTGCTGGAGTTGGAAGGTTTGAGCTGTAGGGAGAGGCTGATTAGGCTGGGGTTATTTCCCCTGGAGCATAGGAGGCGGGGCGGGGGGGGGTGGGGGGGGGGGGGGGGGGGGGCGGACACCTTATACAGGTTTATAAAATCATGAGGGTCATGGTTAGGGTGAATAGCCCAGGTTGTTCTCCCACAGTAGGGGAGTCTAAAACTAGAAGGCATAGGTTTTAGGTGAGACGGGAAAGATTTAAAATGGATGCAGAGAGTGGCGTGTGTAATGGAATGAGCTGCCAGAGGAAATGGTGGAAGCTGGTACAATTACAACATTTAAAAGGCATCTGAATGGGTACATGAATGGGAAGGGTTTAGATGGATATGGGCCAAACGCTGGCAAATGGGACTAGATAAATTTGGGATAGCTGGTCAAACAAGACAAGTTGAACTGAAGGGTCTGTTTCCATGCTGTACAACTCTATGACTTTATGACTCATTCCATTTGAGGACCTTTTCCCTCCCCATTATGAGCAGTATTTGACTTCTGGGACACAGGAACTGACCCATTAATCAGTAACTCATTAGTTGAATTTAAACTAGGAACAGCATTCTTTTCCTGCCAATAACTGTTTTCCAATCTGAGCAGATTGTTGATTTAAGTAATTTATTTACTTAATTGAAAAATTTTGGATGTAATTACATTTCATTAATAAAATCTTTCTTCACAGATCAAGACCAGTAACCAAAATACACCCCACTGAAAACAAAGCTCAACACTACCAGGTAGAGAGACAAATGAACCAATTTCAGTAATTTTGCAATAACTGTTTCTTTAGTAAATTCAACGTGAAAATAGTTAATCGGGGAACTCTTGTTTGCTCTATTTTAGATTGGTATTACAATCACTGAGGCACGACAGCTGGCTGGGGACAATATCGATCCACATGTTATCATTGAGGTTGGGGAAGAGAAAAAGCAAACATCAGTGAAAGAGTCAACAAATTCTCCTTTTTACAATGAGGTAAAAATATTTCAGCATTTATGGCAATAATAACACATCTGCTGTGAATACATTATGATGGTTTAGCAACCTTACGTTGAGATTGTTCAAACATCAGTTCAGAACAGATCGAAACAGCTTTCAAAGTTCAAATAATAATTCATAAATGTGTCTCCAATAATAGTAAAGGGCACTCAGTAGAGTGTATACCTCAGTGATGCTTTGTTAATTCAACGCTATGACAATTATATAGTTCTTTTCCCTGCCCAATTGACGCTCTGAAACTACAAAGCTGAAAAGTAGAAATCTTTTCAATAAGGGTTTCCATCTTATTGAGGATGCTTTGGAACAATTCACACCCACAAACTGCTCTGAAAACTCTGCTCACATTTTGACAACTTTGATAAATTCCACCACAGCAACTGAAATGACCCACGATGTTCTAGAACAATTAACAGCATTCTAAATTAAACAACTGACAACATTTTAAAAAAAAGTCACTATATACCCTGTGTAAGGGATCCTTGAAAAAATCCAACTGGATCCAGGCTTCCACATGAACCTAGGCCAAAACTAACCAGTTTGGGGCATACACACATAGTTTCATTGAAAACTGCCCACTTGTTGTGAGATATGTAATTAAAAGACAATAGACCCAAAGGGACTAAAAGATAAAGTCTGCCCATCTTCTGTGAGCGTATTAATAAAATGACACAATGGGTGAATTTTCTCCAAGTGTTGAATCCAAGAGAATGTAGGGTGCTAGCTGGTCCTGCTGGGAAGCTGTCAAAGTCGGGTTGAGCATAATATCAGGTGGTTTTGTTGGTTTCTGGCAGGATTCCAATTTACAGATCACTCGGGAAGAGGAGAGCTGGAAGGACAAAAGGCTCAGGCTATTGTTCAGGAGCAGTCCAGTCTCTCTCAGTCTCACAGATTCCAAGAACAAGTTATCTTTCCTCATCTGCCTGGTTGCCAGTAGATAGTAGGCAGAACATACATAGACTATGCTGCTCCTAATTTAGTCCAAACATAACACTGGCTTTCTGTTGATGTCAATGGGCCCTGATAGGCCAGATTGGCACTTTCTTCAGGCACCTATTTAGGATATCTACTTAAAGGACCCTTACTCAGAAGCAACAACCAGCAGGAGGGTGGCCAATTCTTAGTCTCCATTCTAATGTCACTCCTGGCTCATTTTTGCAAGGTGAGAGGCCTGAATATTTAGCTCATAAATCATAAAGGAAATGCTCCAGAACTCCGATATGCTGTGTCAGTTTGAATACAAGTTCACATCTTGGAATCTTCACACATTCACCTCCTGATCTTTCTTGTATTGCTTTGGGAGATCAGATCTCTTCCATTGAGATAGACAATTTCATTGGGAAGCTGCCTGAAAATTCCTGAACACCACAGTCATGGAGTGACGTTGACAGAGCAATGGAACTTGGCTCTCCTCCCCAATACACACACACACACACGCACGCACATTCTCTCACACTCAAACACACACACACATACGCTCACTCAAACTCCCTTTCTCACACACAGACTCACTCTCACAGACACATACAATCATAGACATACACCACACTCACAAACACACACACACACTGTTGCTCACACACACTCACTCACTCTCACATGGAGTCACTCTCACATACAATCACTTTCACTCACTCACTCATTCACTCACTCAGTCACTCAAACTCTCATATTCTCATACATATACGTAGACACTCACACCTACAATCACACACACACTCTCTCTCTCACACATATTTTCACACTCACATATACACTCAAACATACGCTCACTCTTTCATATGCATATGCTTACACTTTCACACATGCTCACACACATACTTAGATACTCACACTCACACACTCATTTACACACACACTCACTCTCACATACTCTCTCACACACATACACACTTTGTTTCTCACATATACACTCGCACACACTCACATGCACATACACACACACACTCACACAAACACGCTCATTCACTAATTTACTCACACTCACACACACCATCATTTGCACACACACAAACTGACTGTCATTCTCACACTCACACTCCTTGCTGGTCCTACCAGGACCCTGCATCATATGCCCACAGGCCTAAACACTCTTTGTTATGAATGATGTGTGACATAGGTGAAAAGTGAGGAAGAGAAAAGTAACAAATGTTCTGGAAATAAATGATCCTTTCAAAATTATGACCCATAAAAGGACAACAGAATAATACACAAATGCATTCCTTGCTAAATGAAATGGAAGGTTAGATGCAATAGCAAATATTGATTTCTGCTTCATTTTTGAGAAAAAAGGTTTTAAAATCACTAAACATTACAAAGCTAAACTGATTGTATCTGACAATAAACATAAATTAATATTTACTGCACTATTTGGCTAACTTTGTCAAACATAAAACAATGTATGTTTCTAAAACAATATAGAAACCTTCATTGCTGAATGAACATTTCACATTTAATTTGTAACTCACTTGCTGAAAATCATTTACAAGACTTTTACTTTATTGAAGAGGCTATTTAGTCAACTGTAATGTCAAACAATGTTGTTAAAATATTCTTGAGGTTGCATCTAAACTGTTTTACTGGAATTATGTTTCTATTATATTTATATTATAGTATATATTATCTAGCAAATCAAATAAAGCAGCTTGTTTAAATAGTTTAGCAATTAATTTGCCACATAGATGGTGAAACAAAGCCTTGGTGAGACTAGACCTATACCTGGTCTCCATTCCTAAGGAAGAATATGCTTGCTTTAGAGGAAGTGCAGTGCATGTTCAATAGACCGATTCTCAAGATAAGGAGCCCACCCTACAAAGTGAGATTGAGTAGTAAATCCTTAAGACCTTGGCAGGAGAGACATAGGAAGCTGTTTCCCCTGGCTGGGAATCCAAAACAAGGAATCACAATCTCAGACTAAGGGATCAACTAACTAGTATAGAGCAATTTCTCCAGAGAAAGGCTGCAAAACTTTGGTAAAATTGTGTCCCACCGAGAGCTGTAGATGCTCAGTAGTTGAGTAGATTCAAGTCAGAGATTGCCAGATTTTTAGATACACAAGAAGTCAAGGGATATAGGGAATCTGTGGGAAGATGTTACTTAAGTGATCCAACAAGGCCTTACTGAATTCTGGAGCAGGATCAAGGGGCTAATGGTCTATCCTGCTCCTATTTCTTATGTTCAGAGATTTTAATTTCATTTCGGTGGACAGTAAGAAAAAGTTTAGAAATCAGGATCAAGCAAGGAAGAAAAGTCCATTCCATGCATTAATGCTCCTCTCTCGAGTGCCCTATTTGCTCGGATTAAGTTACAGTTACATTTCTGGTGCTTCTGATATCGTTGTGTAATGTGGGCCTGTATGGTAGAACGAGTTGAAATATTCACTGTAACAACATTGATTAATTATTTTCTTTTTGCAGTATTTTGTGTTTGATTACATTGGCCCAACAGAAATATTATTTGACAGAATCATTAAACTTTCAGTAAGTAATCACATGATTATACATATTTCAAATTGCTTTCTGTAAATGATGAGATAAAAGATGATACAAAGGTTTAATTGCCGAATGTGCTATAATGGAATCTTATTACAATTTCACTAAAGTGAGATTTGCTGAGAGATGTTTATCAGCTAGATATAGAACTAGAAGCAGAAAATTTAACATATTGGGTTAGTGTAAATAGAGGGACAGTGAGTCAGCAGATTGCTGCACTATTTGAACCTGCTATTTCCATTGAATCAGAGAATTTCACAGTACGGGAGGAGGCCACTCGATCTGTCATCTCAATACTAGTTCACTGCAAGATTAAGGCACTTTGTGTCAATCCCCTGCCTTCTCAACAGAGCTCTGCATTATTTTCTTCTTCAATAAGTGATCAAATTCTTTTTTGAAAGTTACTGTTAAAGCTTCCTCCACCAGACTGACTGGCACTGCATTCCAAATCCTAATTATATATTACATAAGGAACTTACTTTTTGTGTCGGCATTACTTCCTTTGGCAATCATCTTAAATTGGTGTCCTCTCACTCTTCTTTCAGAAATGGCAACAGTTTCTTTTTCTGCACTCTGTCCAGATCCCTTATGATTTTGAATACATCTATCAAATTTCCTCTCAACTTTCTTTTCTCCAAGGAGAATCACCCCATTTTCTCCAAACCAGCTGTGAATTTTTTTTGCATCCTCTGGAATGCCTGCACATTCTTCCTAAAGTTCACACAGAAAGGTGGGCCAATCGACCAAGGAGTGGTAGATGGAGTTAAATTTAGATAAATGTGAGGTGCTGCATTTTGGTAAGGCAAATCAGGGCAGACTTAAACAGCTAATGGTGGAGACCTGAGAAGTGTTGCTGAACAAAGAGACCTAGGGGTGCAGGTGCATAGTTCCTTGAAAGTGGGGTTGCAGGTAGACAGGGTGGTGAAGAAGATATGTGGCATGCTTGCCTTCATTCGCCAGTGCATTGAATATAGGAAGTGGGATGTCATGTTGTCGTTGTACCGGACATTAGCGAGGCCACTTTTAGAATATTGTGCCCAATTCTGGTTAGCCTTCCACAGGAAGAATGTGGTTAAACATGAGAGGGTGCAGAAAAGATTTACAAGGATGTTGACGGGACTTGGGGGGAGGGGGGATGGGAGTTTGAGTTATAGGGAGAAGTTGAATATGCTGGGGTTTTTTCTCTGGAGCATCAGAGGTTGAGGGGTGACCATACAGAAGTTTATACAATCATGAGGGGTATGGGGGGGTGAATAGCCAAGGTCTTTTTCCAAGGATGGAGGAGTCTAAAACTAGAGGGCACAGGTTTAAGGTGAGAGGGGAAAGATTTTAAAAGGGCCTTGGGGTAACTTTTTCACGCGGTGGATGGTGCGTATATCAAGCTGCCAGAGGAAGTGGTGGAGGTGGGTACAATTACATTTAAAATGCATCTGGATGGATATTTGAATAGGAAAGCTTTAGAGTGATATGAGCCAAATGCTCACAAATAGGACTAGGTCAGATTGGGGTCTGGTCAGCATGGATGAGTTGGACTGAAGGATCTGTCTTCATGCTGTATGACTCCATAACTGGACAAAGAGTTAAGGCTGAACCAGTATTTAGTTCATGTTATCATAACTTCCCTGCTTTTGTAATCTATGTTCCCATTTATAAATAGAAAGATGTAAAATGGACCATTAAAGGAATAAGAAACTATCAGCAAATGAACTGATCAAAGCTTCCCACAATTAATAAACAGATAGAAGATTAAAATGGAATGTCTTGCTACTACTTTACTTAATATGACAGTATGATTTTTTCAGTTAATGTTTTCACGTATTTGCTATTTCTGTCAATGCTGATGTCATTGTGTAGGTTTGGCATTCCAAACTGATCCGTGGAACACTGATCGGAACATTTAAACTGGATGTGGGAACAGTTTACAATGAACCAGGTACATTCAATAGCTGTCAGTTCAAAGCTATAGGGGTGAGTGGAGTAGTTTGGGGCTGTTCTGTATAATGGGTGAGTGGGAGATTATATTTTCTTGCTGTTACGGTATTTTATTTTATACCTTTAAGAGGCTATATCTTAAACTAATGTCAATAATTACTGCTTCAAGGAGAATTGATGCACTATTGTCATGACTGGAAGGAAATCTGAAGCAACAGACATAGGATTATGATGTGCTGCATTTAGCCTCCCAGCAAATGTATCTACATATAGTCTTATCTTCAACTCAAGAGTCCACATGATTGCCTTGCCAATCTTTGTGTTTCATTGGTACAATTACATCTGAGAAAGTAACATTCTGCTGGACATGTCGATTGCGTGGCATTGTGAAAAGCTGGTTGTGTCACAGCACCCATCCAGAGAAATGTTTATTCTAGAGTTGTGTTCAGACCCACGTGATATTCCAGTATTCACGGTGTCAGCTGATCCCATGGCAGGTTCAGAAAAAAACACCTCTCATAATTCATACAGCTACTTACAAACTTTCTTTTAATGCATTATTTTGATTGTGAGAGAAGAATTTCAGTGCAAGGCATTTGAAATTAGATGTCTGCATTATTTTTTAATGCACATTATTTACTAAAGAAAGACAAACCCAGATTGATAATGACAATTCTTTCATTTCAATTCTCTACTTTCTAAATATCTTACTGTTTCTCTTTCCTAATCTGATCTCGTGGACTTTCCATCTTCCTCCTGATACTTGTTTCCCGCTCTGAAACTGGATTCTGTGCTGGAACAGCTTTCCTCCTATGTTCTCCCAATCCAGAATGATGGATTAATTCCCCAGATGGGAGTCATGTCATCGGGCTTGGTTTTAGTGAGAAAACTGCAACTTCCAGTGATCTGTCCAGGTTACCTCGTAAAGTTGCTATCATTCCATAAGGACTCATTAGAGAGAGAGAGAGAGAGACAACTGGTGGTGGTTTAACCTGAGGGTCACCATGCCTCGGGCAAGAGATGAGGTTGAGAAAGTGGGACTTTCATGGTACCCTCAGCTAATGTAGGAATTGAACATGTGCTGTTGGTGTTAGTCAACACAAACCAGCTGTCTGACTCCGTTTCCCACAGCAATTGGTTTTATTTATTTGTGTGGCCAGGAAAGCAGTAGCAGTTCAATGCTGAGGTGTACAACCCACTCAACGATGCTGGTTAATGGTTGTGATGCCAACAGGAACAGATCTCTCAGGGCAGGAGTTCAGAATATGGATTGTCTCTGTCACAATGTGAGCTGTCCCTTGTGTGTCCAGGCCATCCCTGGGTCTGGACTGGGTCAGAAAAGAGTCTGACTGCCAACTTCGTGCATTCGGGATATTTAGAGATTGGCAATTAATATTGCCCATGCCAGCATTGCCCACATCCTATGAATGAATATTATTTTAAAAATCCATTCATTTAGCAAAATATTCAAAGGACCCTGTAATCTGCTGGAATGCTGTAGCAATTGCATTAATGCAGCAATTTTGTAATTCTGGCTTGTTATTGAAAATTTTATAAAATGAATTAAAGTCAGCATACTGAATTAACCTGATCTCTTTTCCTTGCTACAGGCCATCAGTTCTGTGACAAGTGGGCACCTCTTACTGATCCTAGTGATATAAAAACTGGAGTGAAAGGCTACCTTAAATGTGACATCTGTGTCACTGGGAAAGGTGACAGTGCACCACCTCCTCCGAAAACTACTGAATCCGTTGAAGAAGAAATTGAAAAGTATGGTGACTCTCTTGTTCCTTTGCGAGAAATGAAATGAAAACAAAATTGAGTTAAAAGTGCTAGAAATGGTCAGAATGCTAGGCAGCAGCTACAGAGAGAAAAACAGCGTTAGTGTTTCTGATTTACTAACCTGTCATCAGAACTGGAAGAATGTGAATATACGGAGTGAGGGGAAAGAGTCAAAGGGGAATGTCTATGAGATAGTAGGAACTGCAGATGCTGGAGAATCTGAGATAACAAGGTGTAGAGCTGGATGAACACAGCAGGCCAAGCAGCATCAGAGGAGCAGGAAGGCTGACGTTTCGGGCCTAGACCCTTCTTCAGAAAATGTCTATGAGAGGGTGGAAGGCAGGAGGGGCTGAATAACAAAGGGGGTGTTGTGGCAAGTCAAAGGGATGGTGATGGGAGATTAAAAGGAAATATGATGCGGGTCTGGAGGGGCTGGAAATGGCAACAGCACGATCAGACATTGAGGCCTTGAAAATCAAGTTTGGGAATATTGCACAAGGAAGAGGGGAGAGCTATAGCCATGCTGCTAGCCAGGAATGAAGGTTCCCCACCCAAGAACCAGCTCACATCAACTCAATCTCTAATGTCTCTGATGAAACACCATGATTAGCTCTTGCTGTTGGAGAGACAGCACAGTTGCGCTCAGCTTAAAACCTGCATGTAATTAAAAGGGAACAGAGGAGAAGGAAATGTCAGTCGCAGAATCTGAAATAACACCCACATCCCCCTCCAGAAATACTGGTTATACAAAGCAGACGAAGGGAGCATCTGGAAACAGACAAGACAGCTCTGAGTTTTTTTCAATAGAATGTACCTGATGAAGTATATGCCTGAAATGTTCACTTATGGTTTTGATTTCAAATGTTAATCGATCTGCTGTATTTTTCCAAAATTGTCTATCCAAAACAATAGATTTTTGGATTATAATGTAGCAATTTATTCTGAGTAAAAGGTAAAACATGAGTCTTCTCGATGCAGGAGTAAAGTATTTAATGTTTGTTCATGTGAAAATGAACATCTTGAAAACTTCTTATTCAACCAAATTCATCCTTTTCTCTTAAGGTAGTGAATCGCAATTTTACTTTAAAAATATCAAGCTAAAGGGGCTGGTTCAAGTGCCAATGAATGGGAAATGTTCCAATTCAGCCATTAAAGTCAGCAGAAAGCAATTCCAGGTCAGCTGCATTATAGAGGATGCAGGTTCTTGTCTTCTCAGTTCTGCCTCCAATGCTGCACGTGCCAGTATGGCATTCTTTCTACACAAGTTGCTATTACATCTGTCAGCGATATGACTGATTAGGAGTACATGAGTCTGGAGCGATTATGACCGTTTAGACCTATGATCAGTAAAACAGGATTGTCGTTAAATAGTGATCATAACACGATCAAGTTCGATGTAGCGTTTGAAAGCAAAAAACATGAATGAGCTACTAGGATTTTAGATTTAGGTAAGACCAACTTTAATAAGATGGGACAGACATTGTCCACAGTAAACTTGAAAAATCTGCTAAAACAACTGAAGAACAGTGGAGGATGTTTAAAAAAACTGGTTAACATAATTCAAACCGGTTTGTACCAGAAAGAGGGAAAGCTCCACTTCACAGAACAAAGAACAACCATAGATAACTAAAGAGCTAAGGGACAGCACAAAACTAAAAGAAGCAGCTTACAAAAATGCAAAAAAAACTGCATGAATCCTTCTGAATGGGAAAGATACAAAGACAAGCAAAGGGCCGCAAAGCAGAGCTACTCAAAGGGCTTATGAAAGGAAACTTGGCAGGAACATCAAAATCAGTAAGAGGAAATTTTATAGTTTCATGAAGGGAAAGCAGGTGTTCAGGAGCAATGTTGGTCCACTAAAGACTGAAAGTGGGGATAATGTCAATGACTATGGGGAAATGGCAGACATATTGAATTGTCATTTTGCCTCAGTATTTATAGAAAAAAGGGTAGCTTGCCTTTGGACCCAAGGAAATAAACAGTTGATTGGGAACAGGCACTGGGTAAAATTAACATAAATAAAACATTGATAATGAGGAAATTAAGAGTGTCAAATCACCAGGAGCTGATAGTTCCCATCTGAATGTGTTGTAGGAAGTAGGGGAGCACTTTGTATACACTTTAACTATAATCTTTCAGAGTTCCCTAGATACAGGAGTCATTACTGTGAATTGGAAAATTGCATTTCACTCCCCTTTTTTAAAGGGCGGAAGAGGAAAACTAGGGAATTACAGACCAGTTAGCCTAACATCTATGGTGAGGAAATTGTTGGAGTCTATGATTCAGGATGGGTAATCGAACACTGAAAATTTTCAGTTAGTCAGTGAGAGCCAGCAAAATTCATGACAGGTAGGCCATGGCTGAAAAAGCTCATTGAATCTTTTGAAGATTTTTTACAGCGGCTGTACAAAGAAGCTCGTGAGGTGCATAGATCTTTAAATGGCACAAACAGGTGCAGAACATAATAAAGAAAGCTAGTGGAGTGATGGTCTTTATGCCTAGAGGGCTGGAGTATAAGGATGCAGAAATATGCGGTAACTGTGCAAAACCTTGATTAAATCCTTCTTGGAATACTGGGCACCATACCTTAGGAAGGATGCATTGGCCTTGGAGGGAGTACTGCATAGGTGTACAAGAATGAAACCTGGACTTCAGGTGTTAAATTATAAAAGAGATTATACAAATTAGGCCTGTTTTCCAAGAATTAGAATGTAAAAGGTGATCCGCTCAAAGTCTTTAATATATTAACAGAAAAATACAAGTAGGTAAAGTTAAACTATTTCCACTGATTGAGAATTCTAGAACAAGGGGGCACAGTCTGAAAATTGGGGCCAGACCATACAGGAGGGATGTTAGGAAGCACTTTTACACACAAAGGGTGGTAGATATTTGGAACTCTATTCCAGAAATAGCAGTGGATGCTGGATCAATATGCTTTTAAATCTGAGATTATTTAACAAAATTAATTTAAGGTATGAAGGGATCTGGGTCAAAGGCGTGATCTCATGGAATGGTGGAACAGGCTCAAATGGCTGAATGGCCTACTCCTGTTCCTATTTTTCAATGTTCCTATGAGACTCATTTCAAATAGAATCCTTGCAGCCAGTATTACTAAGATTCTGAGCAGGCAGCACCCCAAAGCCACTTCATATTTGAAACATAGATAACAAGGCGTAGAGCTGGATGAACACAGCAGGCCAAGCAGCATCAGAGGAGCAGGAAGGCTGACGTTTCGGGCCTAGACCTAGA